TGCGAGAAGAGCTCGAAGCGAGCCAGAGGTCGCCGAGGGGTCGCACCGCATCGGAGCGGGCAACCACGCTGGTTTGCGATGCGTCCCAAGGCAGGTAGCTCTCTGGCGGGTCCACTAGGACGGGGAGCCAAGAGATCGACGACAGCTCATCGCCAAAGGTGGACACCTATGCAACCCGCAGGCCTGCGGGTTGGTACGCGTGACATAGAAAGGTGGGAGGAAGGGGGAGCAGCCTGGGGCACCTCCATGTCGGCTTCTCGCGCGGTGGCGTCGCTCTGTCCAAACATCGACATCAAACTGCCGCGCTGCTTGCCGCGAGTGGGTCGAGGAGCGAGGAGAGTCGCGGCGTGGGTGTCGACGTACCGGAGCAGCGCGCGCGCGCGCCGCAGCGCCGCCTCGCCGTCGCTGGCGGAGAGCTCCTGCACCGACCGCGCGCTCTGCACCACCGCGCCGCGCGTCACCTCGCCGCGCAGCCCGAGCCGCTCCAGCGCGCTCAGCAGGTCGGGCGCGCTGAAGACGCCCGCCGGGTACGCCCCCTCCACCCCGAGCAGCTCGGCCGCCGCGTGCACCTTTGGATGGAAGAGCTCGCTCGCGCGGTGCAGCGAGCCGCCCGCCGTAGGCACGAAGCGCAGCTCGCGCAGCGAGTCGACGAAGCCGGCGTCCTCCGAGCCGAGCGCGTGCAGCTCGCGCAGCACCGACACCATCGCGCCGTCGCGCGCCTCGGCGGGCAGGTCGGCCAGCCGGCCAAAGACGTGCGAGCGAAAGAAGGCGCTCCGGGCGGGCTGCTCGACGCCCAAGAAGCGGAGCAGCCGGCGCTCGCTCTCGGAGCCGCTCCGCACGAAGCGCCCGCCCGCCAGCAGCGACTCCGGCACGCCCGGCGGCGCCACGCAGTGCACGCCCCGCTGCAGCGGCACGCACTCCCCCGCCGGTGCCGGTGCCGCCTCGCCGTCCGGCGGCGCGGCGCGGTGCAGCTCGAAGATGGGCAGCGAGCGCAGGAAAGGCACCAGGTCGGCGTTGGTCAGCTCGCTTTCCTCGGCGGGGCGCCGCTCGGCGAGGAAGCCGCGCACCGCCCGCCGCTCCGCCAGGGTCAGCTCCGCGAAGGCCGGCGCCGCGCCGGGGCGGGCGCGCGTCGCGGCCTGCAGCGCGCGCAGCACGGCGCACGCCGTCGGCAGCGGC